TTAAGTGATAAGACATTGACACATAATCCATAGAGAAACTGACTTTAAAATAGTAATAGTGAGCTGGAGTGAAAGGGCCCAAAATGATGACATACAGATACCTCAGAAAAGTAAAGGGGAAAGCATGAGCTGAAGGTAAAGCCTGATGAACACACTGTAATTAGTTTGAGCTGTATTGTTTGATACTATGTACATTGCAGATCAGAGAGGATATGGAGGTAGTTACTACTCAATGACACAATCATTCATAAAACTGGCAAAGAAGGAAAAGTATTGAAGAAGTATCCTCAAGGAGGATACAGATGAAGAGAACTGGGGAATTTTGAGTCCATGTAGGATGTTAACAAGCAACCAGTGACTGAACTTGACGCCATACAAATACCCCAAGAAGTCTCCATGTTGAAATGTAAAGTCCATACCAAAGAAAACACCATAGAAGCCCAAGGAAATTCTTTGGCTGATCAAGTGGCCAGATAGACCACCTCACAAGAAAAACCTCCAATGGAACCCACCTTAATGTGTACATTAAAGATGCTCAGGACTTTAACATAAGACCTACAGGATATGCAGAGTCAGTGCTCCTGAGAGAAAAAATGGGACTTGGATTGGCGCAGGAATTAAACTGTGCAATGGTGGTATTTGGAGACAAAGAGAGATGGACAAACCTATCACCCCGTAGGCATTAATGCTATTTTTGGCACAACAGATCCACTCATAGGAATAGGAGATAGTAGGAACTGCAGATGCTGGAGAATCCGAGACAACAAGCCTCTCTGCTCCTATGATGCTGCTTGGCCTGCTGTGTTCATCCAGCCCTGCACCTTGTTCACTCATAGGAATAATTGGCTCCACAACAAATGATGGGATGATTCCAGAACAGCTGGTAGGGTTGGGGTTTTAAAAGACATGCCCAGGTGGTAGCAGACCATTGAGTGACCTGCCAGAAGAACAACCCCAGACCCATCACAGCCATGTGTAAAGTGAGATCCCCTGCCTCTGCAGGACCGTTCCAATACCCACAAGTTGATTACATATCCCTCCCACCAATGTTGAGGCTATACTAAGGTCCTAGTTATCATCGACAAATTCTCCAGGGTGGAAGCCTCTCCAACCTGATGAGCTGCAGCCAATCGTACAGCTGGTTTTGCGTAAGGATTACATTTCTCTGTGGGCAGTCCTGACCAGCATAGACTCTGACCAAGGAACACATTTCACAGGTGCTGTCTGCCAGGAAGTTTGCAGGCTGCTAAACATTATATGGGAAGTCAACTGCCCTCATCACCCCCAGTCATCAGGGCCAGTGGAACAAGCCAACCGGACAATAAAACAAAGGCTTGCTAATTACCACCAAGAGGGAGTGCCCTGGTCACAAGCCCTGTCAATAGTATTATGTGGCATTTGGGTGACCCCCAGTCAGACACCAGGACTAAGCCCTTTTGAAGTCCTTTTGGAAGGCCTATATCACTACCAGGAACAAGTGATTTACAGAAAGCCAATTGTCACTTAATGAGTCATGCATTGTTAAACTATTGTCAATTCCTAACTAACGTTGTCAGGTCTGCTTCCCAACAGGTATCAGCTGCTTGGGCTGATCCACCAGAGAGAGGCCACGATGTTGTCCTGGGAACTTGGGTCTACATAAAGAAAATCCATAAAGAAATATTAGGAGCAAAGCATTACCAACTGCTACTGATCACTCCAGCGACAGTAAAAGTCCAAGGGAAGAAACTTGGATCCACGGATAAGAACTGTTTCATTTAGCCCAAAATAAGGAATTTGATTGTATTATTATCTGTGTGTATTTTATGTGTTTACTTATGAGTAACTTGCCAACCCCCTGCACCAGAAGGGAGACGAAAGAAAAGAAAGTTACATGTAAATACCTTTTTGTATATGTCCTCCAAACAAGCTAATGTTTCCAGTTGTTGGGTGTATGCCCACATCCCATCCACTCAAAAAATGGCATCTCCTCAAGACCTTGTAATGCATCTGAAATGGCAGAATGGGTAATTCGCCAAAACATCTCCTTAGAGGATCCAGAGCAATTGGCATGGCAGTCCTTATCGGGGACAGGGGTGCATTAAGTGCATATGACTGACTCTTGGGAGCAGTGGGAGTCAACGGGTTACAACCTGACTACCTTTTGTGTGTTTTTTTCTTCTGTGCAGTAACTGACAGGTAAATTGCAATAAGGGTCACCTGAATCTACCCTGCAACTCAGACTGTCATTGAAAATATGAGTTCTAACAGAAAACAACTCAAGTTTTTCTAGCCTCTCCTTATAACTGATACCCTCAAATCCTGGTAAACCTCTTCTGCACCCTCTCCAAAGCCTCCACATCCTTCCTATAATGTGGTGACCAGAATTGAATGTATTACTCTAAGTGTTGCCTAACCAAAGTCTTATGAAACTGCAACATGACATCCTGACTCTTGTACTCAGTTCCACGATCAATAAAGGCAAACATGCCCTATGGCTCTTTACCACCCTATCTACTTGTGTGGCCACTTTCAGGGAGCTATGGACTTTGAACCCCAAGATCCCTCTGTACATGAATGCTGTTCAGGGTCCTGCCATTAATTGTATACTTTTCCTTAATATTTGACCCCCCGAAGTGCAGCACTTCACACTTGCTCAGATTAAACTCCATCTGCCATTTCTCTGCCCATATCTACAACTGATCTGTATCCTGCTGTATCATTTGACAACCTTCTACACCAACCACAACTTCACCAATCTTTGTATTGGCTGCAAACTTACTAACACACCCATCGACATTTTCATCCAAGTCATTTATATATATCACAAACAGCAGAGGTCACAGTACAGATCCCTGCAGAACGCCGCTAGTCATGGACCTCCGCCTGAAAAACACACTTCCACCACTACCCTCTGCCTTCTCTGGGCAAGCCAATTCTGAATCCAAATGGCCAAGTCACCGTGGATCCCATGCATCTTAATCTTCTGGATGAGCCTACCATGAGGGACCTTGTCAAAAGCCTTACTAAAATCCATGTAAACAACATCCACCACTCTACCCTCATCAATCACCTTTGTCACTTCCTTAAAAAATTCAATGAAGTTAGTAAGACATGATCTGCCCCGCACGAAGCCATGCTGGCTGTCCCTAATTAGGCCAAGCTTTTCCAAATGCGCAAAAATCCTATCCCTAAGAATATCCTCCAATAGCTTCCCAACCACCGATGTGAGACTCACCAGTCTATAGTTTCCTGGATTATCCCTATTTCCTTCTTGAACTTCCTCTCAGTCTGCTTCAAAGTGATGCTAATTCACCGCACACTCCTCCCAGTCGGCTTCACGCTGATGCTAACTGCTACACACTTCTCCCAAGATGGAAATGGGTGTGGTAAACACTAAGAAGAAAGGAAAAATTCTTTTTTCTCCTCTTTATTCATTCACAGCATTGCAGGTACTACTTATTGCCGAGCGGGCAATTCAGAGTCAACCACATTGCTGTGGGTCTGGACTCTCATGTAGGCCAGACCAGGTAAGGATGACAATTTCCTTCCCTAAAGGACATTAGTGAACAGATGAATTTTTCCCCCAACAATTGACTCATGGTTATCATTAAGTTCTTAATTCCAGGTATTTATTGAATTCAAATTCTACCATCTCCCATGGCAGGATTTGAACCCCAGTCCTCAGAACATTATCTGGGTCTCCAGATTAACAGTGTAGCGATAATACTACTAGACCATCGTATCACTAGGCCATGATGTGAAATAACAGTCTTTCCTCCATCAGTCGGAAGAAAATGTAAAAATACAGCAGGCTCCTGTTGGGGCTCCTGACCCCATCTGCTCCTGCCTGAGCACATTCTTTCCTTTTCTCTCCTTTCTTGTCTTTTTCTTTTTTCTTTTCTTCATCTTTTGACATTGTGGGAAGTTGGAGCGATGTTTGGCGGGTCATCAGCTGCGGCGGTAGCCGTGCCTGGTGCAGAAGGCCCAGAGCATGGACTTTGTGGGTTATCGTCTGTGGTGATGGTGGTGCCTGGAGCAGGTACCCTTGGCAGCAGTGGTGGCAAGTCACCATGGTGGAGATAGTGCCCAGAATGAGGACTCCTGGCTGCAGAAGGCCTGAAGCATGGGGACTTCTTGAGGCCGGACACCTTGCAGAAACCCTGGAGCTGTGTAATTTCTATTTATGCCTTTTGTAACTCAAAAAGGCACCAGATTGTGGCGACAAAACACTTTTCACTGTGTCTTCCTAAATATATGTGACAAAAATAAATAACTCAATTTTCCATTTTTTTAAAAACTTGAACACAATTTTTACACCAAAACAATTTCAACTTTAAGAGGAATTTCTGAAAAGAATGAGAAAATAGATGTTAAATATCTTTAGAAAAACACTTTGGGGATAAAGGGATAAGAAGGTGTAGAGCTGGATGAACACAGCAGGCCAAGCAGCATCAAAGCAGCAGGAAAACTGACATTTCGGGTCGAGACCCTTCTTCAGAAAAGCTCTGCTAGCAATTCACCTTCATTGTCTAGGAATGAAAGACTATCATTAGCAGGTCTTCTAAAGATCGTATAGAAGATTCAATATTTAATACAGTTTGTAAAGTTTTGATAACACTGCTAATTTTTAGATTACTACATTGGGTTGCAGTAACATTTTATGGATTTGGCCATAGTTACCTTTTTCAAGTAGTTTTTGTACAGTTTTGTTACTGTTAATGATACAATTACCTAAAGCAGCTTTTTATGAGGAAGCCGCCTCCTTTTGTTAATGACCTAAAAGGTGCTGAAAGGTCTGGCTTAAGCCATAATATTCACTTCAATTACACGGAATTCAACAAAAGATTTATTTGTCGGCTTCAAATAAATAAAAGTTTGCATCCAACAGCTTGATTTTGGTTTGACACTTTATTTTGTTGCGAGAACCACATTGTTTAATGGGTTACAGTTCATTAATTGCTTTGATATTTTGTTTCTGTAGAACACAACATCTATATTATTTAGAAGGACACACTGATGTTCTGCTGGAAACATTTGTTCTTAATTTTTTGGTGTTCCTGGGAATATTAAGTGAACGGTTTTATGATAAATGTCACACAGGTTGGAGGATATAATATTGTATAACTTCTCCATATCAAAGTCTAGAATCATAGAATCCCTACTGTGTAGAAGCAGGCCATTTGGCTCATCAAGTCCACACTGACACTCTAAAGAGCATCCCACCCAGACCCAACCCCCTACCCTATAAGTCCCATTGCCAAATGGCATAACCTGCACATCCTTGGACTGTGGGAAGAAACTGGAGCTCCTGGAGGAAACTCAAACAGACACAGGTAGAATGTGCAAACTCCATACAGATGGTTGTCTGAGGGTGGAATTGAACCTGGGTCCCTAGCACTATGAGACAGCAGTGCTAACCACTGAGACACTGTGCTACCATCATTCGATAACAATGAGCTGTTAGTTCCTGGGCCCAGGAATAAGAAATGGCATTTGTTTAACCTACATGACTCTACGGGGCATTGTCCAACTTTATATGTACTGGAGTGTAAAGGAAGCACATTTCAATTATTCTCCTACTCAGAGGGGCGTGTGTGGAGGAGGGGAGGTGAGCAAATGTCAGAAGTATGAGGTTTTGCACAACAGCAAGCATGAATTACAGAAATTGAACAATTCTAAAGCAATATTTTGATAACTTAATTTGGTAAGTAATTAATAAAAGTGGCCATTAAAAGGTTCCGTGTAGCAGATCTAATGAATGTTATTTTTTGTTATTTATGTTAAGAAACAGAGCTACAGAGAGAACCAGAGAGACAGACTAGGACCCAGGTCCTAATGACTGGGGATTGACACTAAGCTAAGGAGTTTAACTGGCATTAACTAAAGCATAACCTCATGTTCACCTCTGGTGGGATACATCTGAGCCAGACTTGGTAGAATTCACTCAAAAGAAGGGGTTGGAATCAGGTTGTCTCTCAGTTTTTCTCCCCTCCCAGCCTGCTTTGTGAGTAGGTTTTGAGGTAACAGGAAGAGGGTGGGAGGGTCTGACTCATTCCTTCCCAAACACACACACAGACACACACACACACAGACACACACACATTCATTCTCACTCCATCACCCTCTCCTCCACACACACAGACACACAGTCCCTTCCTGCATACCACAATCTCTCTCTCTCTCTGCCTCCACAACAGACGCGCTGAGATTTTCCAGCAATCTCTCTCTTTGTTTCAGATTTCCAACATCTGCAGTGTTTTGCTTTCATATAATGTTTTCTCTACCTGTTGTTGGTCGATGTGACTATGCTCAAGAGTTAATGGAACCTGTACATGGTTTTAGTATGAAATGAACTACATCTTGTTCTGAAAGATAACAGCCTCTCCTGCTGAGACTTATTCACAATCCATTCTCCACCATAGACTATTGAACATCCACAAAGATTGACACAGGAAGAGGTTTGGTTGCCACACTTTGCCCCAACCGTAAACTGGTACCCTGGCATCACATCATGTTAAAGGCCTATTATGTTACTGGCCCAGCCAGCAACAGACACATCTCATGAATTAATAATAAAAAGAAGCACAGCTCTTGTGGCTGAAAACATCAAAAATGTTTGATGAGTTGAACGGTTGAGTATTAAGTTGCCCAGCATTTGAGTGAGTGTGTCATCAAAGAGCGCTAGTAAAAATGAAGTCAATCGGAATCGGGGAAAGCTCTTCATTGGCTGAAATCACACACAACACAGCTCCAGGACATCTTTTCAGGAGTTCCTCAGC